ACTCCAGCTGCCGTCGCGCGGCCCCGCCTGAGGGAAGAAGGGGGTCCCGGTGCGGCCGGTGTGACTCGCAGCTTTCCTGCCGTGCCGCTCAGAAGTAATGGCCTCGCTAGGCCGATATGACAGGTAGCGTGAAAAATTTTAAGGCTGCCTTAGTTCCTATGACGAAGAAAACCCAGGAGATCTGCTGGCTGCGTTTTTTGTAAGAATTTGAAAGGTGCTTAAGGTGCTTTTGTGTTGTCATTGTCAAACCGGTGCCGGTTGAAGAAGAGAAAAGGCACAGTGGCCTGAGAAGCCGTCCTTACCTCACTGTGGTGTGCAGTTTCTGCAAGATGTAGCTTTGCCTTGTTAATAATGGGAACTGGCTTCAGTGTTCTCACGGGTGTTAGACTGTAGGAAGATGCTGTCAGCTCTATACGGCTTTGGAGAGGATGCTATGAAAGGTCTCCTATTTCTTTTTCCTAGGCCAACTGGCATAGCAAGAAGCGCCTGCACGCCAGCAGGAAATACTATAATCAGTGGACACAGCCTGGGCTCTTCCCTTTGCAGCAGACAATTTTATAGACCAGTGTGTAGAAGTCAGTATTGGGTAATGTGGCCAGACATCTGATTCAGTAGCATGGAGATTTAAAGGTATTATGTTTGAATGAGACTGGTTTAAAAATGGCATAGCTCGGACCTAGGAACTTGGGAGTACTGCTTATTGACAGGCTTAATGTTCACCAGTATCTGGCACCAAAATCACGTAGTTACTATATTAGCCTGCAGAGTGCTGCCAAGATCTGTTCGTTAGGTCCCTTTTCAGTTTTTGCTTAAAAGTCCTGTCATAAAAGAAGGAATAAAAAAAAGTCAAAGAGTAAATGTTGCTATAGGAAATGAAATAACTTTTGCATTAATTTTTCCTTTTCTGTAATCTGATGAGGGTAAGGACACTCCAGAAATATGTGACAATAACTGTGGTTGAACATTCTGTTTAGAATGGTCATCAAAATGGAATTTGAGCATGTGCACACAATTTTTACCTATCTAAATTCTTTTCAGTCATTTCAAGTTTTTTATTAGTCTTTTGAAATCTGGGTTGTCAGGGATTAATAGAGTTCACATGAGCAAATATAACGCTGGGTAATAAATGTCTCTGACAACTTTTTGTTCTTATGCTTTATTTAAATCCTGCATTGTATTTGGGGATACAAATAATACCATATGTAAAATATATGCGTGAATTACCTACGTCAGTCAGTAGAAAACTGGAAATAATGAAGAACTCAACCTTTCTGCTTAGCTTCAGAATTAGTGATGAGTATAATCAGCATAATAAGAGCTTATATTGGTAAGTTTTTATTCAAATGGAAGTGTGGCATAGACACTGATATCCATTTGATTTGGCAAGATAGGTATTTCTCTGGTCAGCAAAGGAAACCTTTGTCAGTTAGCCTGAAAGTTAAAGGCTTTGTGGGTCCTTTTTTTGTGTGAGCAAGGAAAAATGCAAACCTCCCCTAGTGCAATCAAAATGAAAGGGATAATATTTTTTTTTTTAATTAAACGTTTCTAGGATTACATGACACTTTCTGCTGTCTGTTATTTCAAAGGAGCTCTGCAAAATACAGGTTCATGCTCATCTTTTTGCATTAATCTGCATGACACAGCCTAGATTTAATATACTTCAGATTAATTTCATGCCTGCCTTGTTCTGACTTTCTATGTCAGAAATGGTACTATATAATTCAGGTGCTATATCCTTGTTTTATCTGCCATTTTAGGATTCTTTTGAATTGAAAAAAAAAATTTTCTTACTTTATGCTCGATTCGAGTTCTTTGTTCTTTTCCTCGCCAGTTTCAGTTTAATGTGGTTTTGCAGTTAATAGTAGTTAGCATTTCACTTTTTATGCTTGTCCTGGTTTTCTTCAAGGATATAGATAAAAATGGCATATATGAAGCTGTAGTTTACTTTCAACTATTATGGATTTCAGACATAATAAAAATAATGCTTTTTAATACCATTAACTTTTTTATTATTTCAGAAAAATTATCTTTGAGAAGCAGTGGTTCTATCTGGATAATGCTATCGGACATATTTATGGAACTACATTTGAAGTAACCAGTGGTGGAAATCTGCAGCCAAAGCAAGAGGTGGAAGAGACTACCACAGGTATTACAGAGGATTGACTGGTGTTTGGAACGGGTTCCAGTGAATTTGTTTCTTTGATAAAACCAAAGATGATGGAAAAGCTTTCCATTAATCATTTGTTAACGTTACTTATATTCTTTCTGTCATAAAAGTGCATGGTTTTGTCTTGATCTGCTGTTTCACTAGTCCTGTAACAAATAAGCTTTTTAATATGGGAGAAAATTTGAACCTTAGTTGGGATGAATATATACTAAAGTGTATTTTAAATATTACGTTTCATTGATTGCTTAGGCAATACTTTGCAAGGCCATGAAGCATGTGAGTTTTATCTTGAGAAGTCTGCTTTCTGTGAAACTAAAATCATATGTTTCTCCAACTTAAAGATATTTAGAGCTAGATTTTACAAATCTATATCCTTTTCCTTTAGAAACAAAAGAAGCAGGTACAGATAATCGTAACATAGTTGACGATGGAAAGTCTCAAAAACTGACTCATGATGACATAAAGGCTTTGAAGGACAAGGGTATTAAAGGACAGGTAAAAATAAGGTTTTGGTGTCATTTCTGTGCTACCTTGATGGTTATATTTTAGTTTATGAAATAGGCTATTCTTTTTATTGGTGCATAGGCTTTTTCTTTGTTCTTCTGCCCAAGTCATGTTTTTCCTAGAGATCTGTTTTTACAAAAATGCAAAGGCTGTTTTCAGAGAAAACTTCATGTAAGGTTGGCAACTTTGTCAATAGAGAGTGAAGTATGAATTTTTATGGCATCAAAAGTCATAACAGACAAAAAGAAATATTAAAAAATATTAAAGCCATTAAGGAAATACAGCTTGTGTAATCACCTTTTAGTTTTGTTTGGTTTGGTTTGAAGACTCAAAATATTGTTTCTATATTACAGACGTATTAAAATAATGCAGTAAACTATCAAAGGCGTAGGAAAGGATTATGAATAAACACAAAAGTATTAACAAATAGCACTATATAACAAATGTATTATCAGTGTACCTACCAAACATACCTGTGTTTTGTCTGCACTTCCAAAGCGATGAATATTCTCAAGAGATGGGTTCTGTTCTGTTAGAAAAGGGATTGGATTTTACTCCGCACTTTGTCAAAATCAAGTGTGGCCATCTTAAGCGTTAATAAAACATTGCAGCCAGTTCTGTTTGGCACATGTTACCAGCCAAAATTCTCTCTCATTGTTGGTTTACCCTTTTTAATAAAAATAAGAAATTGCTCATGCTTACATTAAGTTCATCTCCTCTTTGCATCTTGCTGTTCGCTGCTGCTCTTCAGAGCAGCTGTTCCGCTTTTGCCTGCTTAATAATGGATGGGTCCAAGGAGTTTAGAATGGTATTTCTTCTGTTTCCATGGTTGTGCTGCTCATGGTGTTACCTCTTTGAAAAGAATGTACTAATCGGTCTGATACTTTGACATTTTCTGTTTGTTCTTATTATCTGTGTCAGAAGATCACTCTGGCTTTTCTGTATGTCCTCAGCATGTCTGTGCCATATATTTACTATACTGTTATTTGAGGTTATTAAAATATCCTACTTTGTTAACTCTGGTTTCTGAACTGTAGCTGAATATTCATTTATAGACTGTGTTGTATTAGCGGTAGTAGATATTATTCTTCCATAAATGTGTGTTAGAATCTGAACTCATGTTTGTGAATGGCATTTCTTTGTGACGCAGGCTCAGTTTAGAGATTATTGTTCTTTGAAATAAAGCAACCTCAGTGTTAATGAGGTTTGATTTTCCCATCACTTCCCAAATCCTTCCCAGGTCCTGAGGCATAGGTGTTAGGATGCAGACCTGAAGTGGCATGTACTCCTGGAGCATTGCATAGTGCTGCAGCTTTCCTTTGGCTTGTTTGCAGATGAGATTAAGTGGGGTAAGGGATCATGTCTGATAAATATCCAGAGTATAGGGGAAGATCTAGCACAAAATGGAAAAAAAGATGCCCTCAGAGATAGCGATGCTAAAGTCAGACAAGAGACTCAAAGAGGGAGTTGGATTAAATCTTACATAAGACATCAGGGTCCTTGTTTTGTTTTTGTACAATATTTTTGCCTGTATAGCTTCACACAGGACTTAGGGTAATGTCACGCAATCCGGTTACTATGGGGAATGCTGGACTGACAGAATATATGTCAGTTGTTCCAAAATAACTGCCAATAAACATAACTCTGCCTCATTCTAGGCACAGGCTAATAAAAGTAGCTAATCACTTAGAGAAAGCAAGGTAGTCTCATTCCCATTCATCATGGGATAAGAATATTTAGGTACTGAGGCTTTACAGTAAGGGCTGAAGTAATGACTTTCTGATGCTGAAAGAAACAATCCTGTTTTTCTTCTGGTCATCTGAATCTACCCTCTCTCATGAGTTAGTTCTGGCACCTGACTCCTTCACCACAAAATACCCTGTTTCCAGAATAAGCATTTTCAGTTTTATAATTTTTATGCTGGCATTGTGTAATTAAAGAACACCTTGGGACAAAAGTATATGTTTAAATTCCTGCACATAGTCAGAGTAGTGCCTCACTTATCATGTTAATTAATAGAAATTTACTTTACCATTAATGTCAGTTAAAGTTAATGGTATACATGCCTCTACTGGAAAAAAATATTTTCAGTGTTGTTTAAAAAATACTGCATATGAAATTAATGAGATATAAATACCAGCTATAATAAAAAGTAATTTTTTTTTCCCAAGGAAATAGTTCAACAGTTAATAGAGAACAGTACAACATTCAGAGACAAAACAGAATTTGCTCAAGATAAATACATAAAGAAGAAGAAAAAAAAGTAAGTGAATTTTAAAATTTGGAAAATTTAGTAGTTCTCTAATTTGTTGATCTTGAAATAAGACTACTACTATGTGTTTCTCACAGGTATGAGGCAGTTATTACAATTGTAAAACCATCCACTCGCATTCTTTCAACAATGTATTATGCAAGGGAACCTGGAAAAATAAAGTAAGTTTCGTTTCTTGTTTCAAATTATAATGGATTTTAATATTTTTCAAAATACTTGTGTTACACCAAGTACTCATCACATTTCTTTTTTTCATGGTAATGGAAAGATTGTAAACTAATTAAAAATGTCACATAGAAAATTAATCAATATGCCGTTGGGAGAGGAAAACTTTTGCATGCAGCATCAGCTTTTACTATTTCCCTACCTCCACCATCTTGCTAAATACCTATGTAGACAGAGGCTCTTCACATTTTCAGAGGTATCTCTTACCTGGTTTTGGTCAGTGGCGTGTTGACTCTGTTTTCTGGCTCAGTAATCAGAATAACAAGCCACCTACCAGAGGCAGGAATTTTTGTCTTTAATGTGTTACGGATTCAAAATCTTAATCAGAAGTCTCCGGAATTTAAAAAACATGTGGTTAACACTGGGGGGCAGGAGAGGGGGAGGGCAATGATGACAGAGATCTAGCAGCATTTGATTTTCACTTACCTAAATGAAATGATACATTATTTCAGGCATTGTTTACAAGGGACTGATTGTTTTTCAAGTAGTGAAAGTCGATCTAAGATGCTGAGACTTAAAAACCTCAAATTTATGTTATTTAAGGCTTCTCAAACCTTTTTCATTCTCCTTCCCCCATCTCCTTCTTTTGGCTTTATTTGTCTATTAAGATTGTAATTTCCTTGGCCACCACTGAGTCTCTTCAGTGCATGTGCTGCAGCCAGCAGGGTTAGGTTTTGATTCTGGATTACAGGTGGTGCCTGCTACTGCGAAACAGATGAAAATCATGAAGGATACCTTACTGGATTAGGAAATGCATTCAAATACCATTTATTCTTTACAAAACAGGCATGTTAGAGAGAACAACAAAAAAATGAAAAGTTTTTAAAATATTTTGTCTGACTGGCACAGCATGAGGTGTGCATTTTATTATGTGCACCCAACGTCAAATCCTACTTTTGCTATTTTTTTTGTAAGCCTAAACACCCATTCCCTGCTAATTTCTTGCTGGGAAGAGCTGGGTCTGGCTCAAGTGCTTCTTTATTACCAGATGGTTAATTGCGAGTTCCTGCATGGTTACTCTGAAGGCTGCTGATGCTGTTCCTGAAAATCTACCTGTAATCCAACTTTTCTTTGACAGGCTCCTGAGCTAATACACAGTGTTTCTAATGGTAAGAAAATTAATCTGATATTTCTTAAAACCCTCTGCCTTCTAGCCACTTGCGATATGACACCCTAGCTCAGATGCTGACTCTAGGAAACATCCGTGCTGGCAACAAGATGATTGTCATGGAAACATGTGCAGGCCTCGTGCTGGGTGCGGTGATGGAACGAATGGGAGGTAAGTGACACAGTAGCTTTAGTAACATCCAGACTGAGGACTTACTTGAAACTTAAATACATGTCTCTGTGATATTGCTAAATGCAGTACTTCAAAATACTTTCTCAGTTTCTCAAATCTACTTTTACTGTCTCCAGTATTCAAAGAGATACTTGTTTTTCCATTGGAGAAAGTTGTATTTTGAATATTTCAGTTGGATTTATTTTTCACTATTTAAAAAACCGTGAAATTTAAAAGTTGACATCACTGTATGTAGATTTATTTTAGTTTCTGTCTTAGCATAATGACATTGTGTTCGGAAAAGACTGTAAGGAGCATTAATGCAGATTCTTCCCAGGCACCTGGAAAGTCCAGGCAAATGAATGGCAGAAAACAGGAATAGTAACACTGGAATTCAGACAGCCCGCAGCACTGAAAATATTCTCATTTTTCTTGTTCACTGCGCCAGAGATTTAACGTCTGCACAATGTGTACTTTAAAAGTAGTATATGACATTTCTTGAGCATATTCTAGGTAAAGTTTGACTTGTTTATTTTTCAAAATAAGTTAATTAGTTTCATCATAGATCATTCAAAGATGCTAGACAGAGGTTACAATTACGTTCCGGAAGCCTAGAAAGGTAGGAAGTGTGATGTAATGTTGAGCATCCAGAAGTGCCATCTGTTGGCTGAGAAGCACACAGGCAGTTGTACTATAAATTGTTTTTGTTTCAGCAACTTTTGGCCAGAGGCATACTTTCTGAAATAAATTAAGATACAATTTCAGTACAACTATTGAAAAGTCCTTTTTAGTTTGTTTAAACATATGACATCTCTACCTTTAGAGTCTGGATGTTGAAGAAATTCCTTGCCTATTAATGCTGTTACTTTTACTTTTTATCAAAACCACTCCATAGTTATAAGTAACAAATACTGTAGAAAATTTTGTCTTTTAACTCTGAATTAAATTAGCTTTTCTAACAATCTGTCACTTATATATTCCGTGCTAATCCTGAATACGTGTGTGATACATGCGTAATGTTTGAGTTACTTTGTCCTTTTGAGTTGCAGAAACTGTTGTCTTTGCAATAATGATTTTCTGCCTTGAGGCATACTTAAGCAGCCTGTTAGATTTGTTGAAGGTTAGATTAAGAGCAGGCAATTTACTTACTTATTCTTAAATGAATGCTTCATTTAAGCATTTTAGGAATTTAGAAAATTTAAGCATTTTAAGAAATTCCAGCTTTCCATTATGTTTTTGATTCTTTTGCTCTCATAGGCTATGGATCCATTATTCAGATGTATCCAGGAGGGGGACCTGTTAGAGCTGCTACCAGTTGTTTTGGATTTCCAAAACTTTTTTTCGATAATCTTCATGAATTTCCTCTCAGCAAAGTGGATAGTCTCCTCTCTGGGACATTTTCCACAGAGTCTCTGCCTTCAGAACCGGAAGATAACACACTGATGGAAGAAGAAAGCAATGGATTGACTGATGAGAAGCAGACTTCCCTACAGGAAGCAGAAGAGGAACCTACTACTGAAGCAGCTATGGAGATCAACCAAACAGAAGAGCAAGAAACAATGGACATTAATGCTGAAGATGTAGAATTTAAAGAGAACAAAGAAAAAGAAAATAAAGAAAATGTAAGAATATTTATTGTGGCAATTCAAGTTTTACAATGTCTTTGTACTTAAAATTCCACTGTCTGAATGAGACATGCTGAAAATCAGACAGCTTACTCAGGTGTTAAAATGGAACTCTGGAAGTTGTCTTTTGTCTTACATTAAGCCATCTAAGATGCAAAAATGAAAATTCATTCCATGCAACAGTGATCCAATCTATAGTTACCAGTTAGAATGCACACTATTTGTTTTGTTGTTCAAAGGTTCGGGAGAAGCAAAGAAAACAGTGGGAGAGAAGGAAAAAGCTAATAGAAGCTGCTGCTTTGTTGAGAGAGAAGAATGCTGATGGGTGAGTTTGTTTGTAGTCGGAAGGGTCTTCTGTTTGAAAACACATCTGCAGAAAATAATTTCCTTTGAAACAAATAAAAGCTCTGTTTTAAAAATAATTTTTTTCTTAATATTTACAAGCAAGCAGTCAACCCATGTGTGTCTCAGGTCTTGTTTGGTTCTTACCTGGTTTAGGTTTTTTTCTGTTATTCAAATGGTTTGAAATTTAATGATCTAAAAGTCACAGTTTCCTGACTAGCTATGAGTACATATTAAAAAAAAAATCCAAAAATAAAGAGAATCCAGGTAGAATTTAATACAAAATGACTGCTGATAAAAATCACAGGATTCTAACTGGCAAAGTAGAACCTGAGGTTTTAAGTGTATTAAATTGGAACTAAGTTTGTTGTTTTGGAGTTTTGTTGGCTTGTTTTTAGAAACTAATTTCTTTTTTACACAGGAAAAAAACACATAACTTCATTTTCCCTGCTTTAGCCAGGATTGATTTGACATGAAGATTTAATATCAGAAGTTTAAAACAAATATGTTAAATGTATTCCTAGAGATTCAGCCCCACAATACTGTAAGAGCATTTGGTGGTTGTGACTTTTCCATTATGTTCTTAGCAAATGCAGAAGTGATTTGAGTTAATCAAGTAACATTGATTTAATTTAATAACATATTCATTTCTTCCTCCTAAGAATATTGGCTCACTGGGAATAAAACCTTTCTGCTTGGATAAATTTTAATACGCATTTATTGGTTATGTTTAAATGCTTGTTATTATGAAATGTTTTAATTCATGCTCATTCATATTTTAGTACATCTCATTTAGTATATTTAAATGGTAGTATTAGCCTTTTCTGCAGGTGCAGACACAGGTCATTCTGTGTCCTCTGAAGCAATGACATGGTAAAGGAGGTTTGTACAAGTACTGAGCATTAGTTTGGCAGCAGCAGCACCACTGGTGATGCCTGTGGGTGACCATTAAGCTGCCTAGACAGTGGTAGTGTTTTGTTCTGGTTTTATCGCTGTCTCCTGCACCCATCGTTATAATTAATGTCTGTGCATGGTCTGGCAAGGTGAAAAGTAATACTTGACTTTACTTGACGTTTTCTGTAGTGTAAAATAGTATATTTGGTTGCTAAGTTTGAGTTCAAGGAAGCTTGTTCAGTATTTGTATCTTGTTTGCTTGTTTTCAGTCACTTCTGTATTTCTTTTGTTCTTTGTAATGCATGAAAGCTGTAACAAATTATACACTTGAAAAGGGATGAGTGAGTTCTTGCTCTAGGAGGCCTTCAGCATGATGGGGGGGAAGAGAAGTTTGTGGTTGCCTGAAGGCACTGTGCCAGATGGCTGAGTCAGGATCATCTTTTGTCACCTTGCCTTTTATAGCCCACCATTTGTTTAGATCAAGAACCATAGGGAACATATACTGCTAAGCCAGGAAAAATTGGCATGGAATAAAGAAATGCTTCAAACTAATGACTTGGCACATGAGTAGAAGCAGGCAGAGACAGTAGGATTTTGTTCTGTTTTGCAAGAAACAGGGAAAGGATAGGTAAAAGCTGGTTAATATTGGAGGTGGGGAAAAGGATTAGGACTTACTGTGAGAGTAAAGAAAAACTGTCATTAGGTAAAGATGGGCACCAACTTTAGGAGAATTACTTGTTGAGGTCCTGAATCGTACAACATTTACTACTTAACGTGGAAGATAGAATTTTACTAACATTTATGTCTTCTGGGCTGTTACATGGTAAAACAGTCCTACTGGACGTATTTGTTCAATTCCATTTATGAGAATTTAAGTCTTTTGTAGGCCTTTAAGGGGGAAAAAGGAAGGCATTCATTAGGGATTTGGTATTCTTCTAAAGAAGGCTTTTTTAAGATAGACTATTCAATTTCCACTTTCATTGTATCAGAAAAGTTTATAGACATTCCTTGTGTTCAGAATTAGACCACACGCCTTCTCCCTACCCTTTCATGCCCTTCCTGTACCTCTTTCTTCTCCCCTCTCAGCCATTACATTAATTTTGTGGCTGGCCAGACCACCTGCTGACAGCAATATGTGCTGCCATATGAGAGAACAGAATTTGATTTTTCACAGCCTCTCTCATCTCTCACCATCCTGTTGTCTGGCAGAGCTCCTTGCAGTGTCAATGCAGCATTTCAACCCTTCTGAGGCAGAGTCTGGAGACTTTTTTCGTTATGGTCCACTTGGTTAATTACCAAGCACAAATTTTTTGAAGTTTGGAATTAGGGCTAAATCTGTAGCTTTCAAGGCCATGGCCATCAGAAAAGCAAAATGGAAACAACTGTAAAAGAGTTCTCTCGCTTCTTTATCTCCATTGTGTTTAGAAAATTGAACATGAGTTTTTATCTCCCTTTTGTTAGGTAAGTTTGATGGTATCTCCAGTGCTGTACATTCCCCTGGAGAACAAATGTTAATTAATTGGTGGGTCTTTTCATATAGTAACTGTGTATTAGAGAAGTAGTTTAATTATCCCATTCTTTCTGCACAAGTACAACTTACTAACTCATTGAATCTTAACCATTTCTTGCGGTATAGTTTACCAGTGATTTTTTTTAATAAAAACTCTAGATACCTGTAGAGAATCTTAAGCATCTGTAAACGAGTTATACTGTGATATTAAAATGAGGATGAAGAATAAAATAAGAAGCCTTTAAGGTGGCAAGGACATAATTTATTTTAAAAAGATTTTGAGTCATGCCCATTAAGGGATTGTTTTCTCTTTAATAACTTTTTTATATAAAACTGTACTTCATAAAGATTACCCAGTGTAAAGAATCATGACTGAGGTTACGTTCTAAGCAACAATTAGGAGTCACAAAATTTAAATTATATTTGGACAATGGCCTTAGGGTATAGAAAGCAGCATGCAAATTCTTGGTTTGTAAGAATTACTGTGAAGCTCAACACAGCTGAAGAGTGCTTCTGCAATGCATTTGATATATTGCACTTTAGGGCACAAGTGTTTTATCCTCTTAATTATGCAAGTAGGAAATTGTGATTTGTTTTTATATTTGGGGAGTTGTTAGAGCCATGAAAACATGCTGATTAGCAACATTTAAGCTATAATTGATTGCTGTGCTAAGTAGGAGAAAATGTCACTTGATTAATAGGTTTTAGAAGCAGAAAACTAATGCGCATGAAATTTCTTTTGCAGCTTAATCGTAGCCAGCAAGTTTCACCCCACTCCTTTACTGCTTTCCTTACTGGAATTTGTTGCTCCTTCAAGGCCTTTTGTTGTCTACTGCCAGTATAAAGAGGTAAATCAAGTGTGTTATTTTAGCTGTTATAGTTCAAGTTTGAGACTATTCTGCTGTATAACCTGCTATTTGTTTTTTTTAAGCCATTATTAGAATGTTACACAAAACTGAGGGAAAAAGGTGGTGTTATTAACCTAAAGCTGTCTGAAACCTGGCTACGAAACTACCAGGTAAGGATTGCAGTAATTAGCTGTCAAAACTGCATGAATTCTGGGAGTGAAACACTCTCTGAAAATAATGGGTTTTGGACTGACTGAGTTAGAAGTGTTTATTAATTTCCAGTTGGTTTGTTAGGTGAAAAAAAATTGTAATGGTAAGAATGGTGACTTACAAAGCCAGTGTCTTCAAATAACACGCTTACTGGAACTAAGGTAACAACAAGTTCCCAGTCTGGGAACTGAACAATGAACACGACATGAGATGGGGAAAATATCTCCACAGTGAAAAAAACCACTTTGACTGACTTTGTTGGAACAAATTGTTTGCAAATGTGGAGTACCCTCTCACCTATGAAGAAGCAGAAGCATGTCTGATTTCTAAGCAGCTCACCACCTCTGAAGAGGTTCTTGCATTTTACTGACTTTCTCCTTGTTTATAGGCTTCTGCAGTCTGTAAGGAATTACTATTTATGGGATGACTTAATTGAAGTCATCGAAGGCCATGATTAATGACTATTGATCAGGCAACCAAATTGGGAATGATTAGGAGATTGATAGATGATGTTCACACCAGTTTGGCTTGTCCAGGGTTGCTATGTCCAAGTGCAGTTATGAACAATACTGCACAGTCTCCTGACCACATGTAAATCAGCTTAGACCTGAGTGGGCAGTCAAAGCAAGGAGGGAGCATAACTGAAGAGAAGGCTTTTATAGAAAAGTACAATGTAGCTGAAAGTGGTTGTTCACTGCTATGTCACCTTCAAGAGCAGCTACGTAAAGATCATAGTGACAGAACTGGAAGTTACTGTATTACTTAACGCTGTTGTGTTAGACGAGCTGTGGTTTCTTGCAAGGTATGCCAGTTATGAACACATTAGTGAGACTTTCATGTATCCCAAACATGGAATTTACAGTTTTGCTGGAAATGCCATGAGAAAGTAATCAGTAAGGCAGGAGCCTGTAGTCTTATGTATTCCCATAACTGGTATGCAAATACTTTGTCCTGTAAAGATAAATACACTTTCCAAATGGCTGTTTGTTGTGGTAGCTGGGAAAAAAAAATACATCTTGTATGGAAGCTTAAATTACACAATCTTATGTGTACATATAGAGTGACTTTTTACTTGGTCTTTTGTTTGGTTTGGGTTTTGTTTTTTTTAAAGGTCTTACCAGATCGAAGCCATCCGAAACTGACTATGAGTGGAGGTGGAGGGTACCTTCTATCTGGTATAACTGTGGTCTTGGATAAGGGCAAATCTGATTCCAGTAATTCAGAAGCACTGAAGGTGGAAGAGCCATCATCTAAAAGATGCAAAGTTCAAGACCTTCATTGTTAACATTTGAAGAATAGATTTGTTTTTTATATCTCAGGAGTCCTACTGTTCGTAAAATAACAAGTATGCTTTCTGTGCTCTCGACAGCACAGAAATTGTACCTGCCATACATCTGTTGGCAAAAAGCAGCAGAACTGTATGGTAGGGATGACTGTCTTGCTCTCTACCAGTTTACATGATCAGAATGAGGAAAAAAAACCCTTGGAAGCAAACATCACACTGAAAACACAGTAGCTTCAAAAATAAGAGAAGCTCAAGAGAAGATAAAGCATCAGTGAAGGCATTCTGCTTGTTAACAAAAATGGATATGATGAAGTAATTTTTTAAAAGGTTGAGTCTGAATCAACACATCTAATTTAGATTCCCATTTTCCCAGAAGACATTCTGCAGAGTGATCTGCTCCCTCTTTGGACACAGAACCCAGCTGTGTTCCGTAAGTGAAGAAATGAACAGCAAAAATCGTACGCTTTTGTTTCCAAAGGAACAATAAAGAGACTATACTAATACCAGAACTTTACAGCATGAGCCCATGTTTTCCTGAAATAAATACAGAAGAGAAAGTATATTTTTAAATTAAAATATCAAATGTTTAAACCGAATGTCTCTATTAGTATTGCTTGTCATTTTCCTGAGAGTTGTTATATGTTTTAAGATAATATTTTGAAAACCGCTATCTGTATATATATTTATTCTACTGTTTGATCTTTCATGATGTGTAGCTTTTCTATTTTTTTTTAACTTTGCATTTGCCATTTCAATTAAACTGCAGGATGTTTTTTCTAATGATATTTCATTTTTCTTACTTTTCCCTCTTTTTGGAAATAAAAAGGTCTAGCAGAGGCTTTAGGAGGAGAATATGCTTGCTGGCTGTACCCCACTGAACCCCTGGGTGGGAGCTGTAGGCCCATATGAGATCAAGTAATCAGTCTTCATAAGGCTGTGAACTTCTGTACGTTAATGTTCTTTTAGGACAACATTAGCGCAAAACAAAAGAAAATGGGGTCTATTTTGTGTAAAGAAGCAGTTAAAGATTAATTTTAGGTGAACAGGGACAGTATGTCTTCAAGTTTTTGTCTGCCTCTGTTGTGTTTTTTTTAAAGTCCCTTTTTTTTTTTTCTTGTTTTTATGGAAAGTGTTTCTTTAACTTGTGTGAAAAACCATAAGCAGAAAGATGGATTTCACCATCTCCTCTGTATTCCACCAACCATGTGGATCTGAAAAATGTGCTTTGCCCCTCTCGCCTTTCAGTAAAGTGTAAGAATTCTTTCAAGAATTAGGGGGGAAATGGGGAGTAGAAGTTTTCCTTTACTGGGTGTCCACACATGCATACTGAAGGTAAACTGGGACTTTGAAAGCATCCAGCACCGAGTATGTGATGAAATTCTGAGACAGCCTAGCTTAGGAGCCTGGCAGTTAGGGAAAGGCAAGAAAATTATCAAATCAGTATAAGACAGGAGATTAATACTGAAAAATTATCTTTTGCCTCAGTTTTCTTACCTGCAAAGCAGGCATAGGTACTGCTCTGCCACTCCCATGGAGCTGACAGGCACATGGCTATCATACCTATAGCACTAGAAAGGTGTAAAAACTTCCAGAGTAAAGGTTAAACAACCAACATAGGTTTTACATCCTACTTCTTATCGTATATAATCTGATAAAAATAATAACCTGAGGGGGAAAAAAAATCAGTTTTATTTGTATAGTAAAAAGATCAGTTTTGAGAAATAAGCAGGATTGGAACAGCTAAAAAATTGCTTTAGCTCGAAGTCAAACTGGCTTCATTTTACCAGCCTTAACGCTAACACACTTTCAGTACTGAATCCTCTACCTCATTTTTAAAATGCACCATAATGCTCATAGCAATGAAAGATACTAAGAAACAATGTAAAATATTTCAAATCGTTGATGTTTCAAACTGATAGAACCTATTCTATATATAATAGTGGAAGAGCACATGTTGATTTAACATTGGTCCTATTTGGACTGAAACACATGAATAAACGAAGAGAGAAGCATTGTTGAAATGCAAGTTATGATTGTCTGAATCTCTAGGGAGCCTTCATGTTTTTACAAGTAACAAATGGGGGAAAATACAGAACAAGTAAGAAGAAAGCATGGCTTCACCAAGGGCAGATCTTGC